TGAATAAGAAATTATTGAAACAGACGAAATTCAATGTCAATAAAATTATGTTTTACCGACACATTTTATTCTGAAAAAACATTGATTGTTGATTCACATGATTGTTTTAAAAATCTTCAGGAAAACTATTACTAAATAAAAAAGATTTTAAGCTTAATATTGTTATTGATCAGATTGTGTATAGAGGTTTGTTTTTTTTTAAAGGAAAGATTCAATGTTTAATGTATCATGGTTACTTGACGTATATCTTTTCTTATTTCGTTAACTGATAGGTGGTTGTTTCACTTATGCTTTTGTTATTAGAAAAAACAAAACAACTTTTTATGTTCCAAATAATTAATTATATTGATGTTGGTTATTGAGATCTTTGTATTTCAACCCTTTCAATAAACGTTAGAAATAATCTGATTGTAATATAGAGTAATTATTAGTAAGTGTTTTGTAAAACTTCTTTAAATAAAACTTTGTAACAAGTGTTCTATTGAATCTTGCCAAAACGAGTAACCTTGAAACTTTTGTAACACCCGACTGACGAGTTAGTATATATTTACTATGTTAAATTAGGAACCTACCATTAAAGATTATAATGAATTGTGAATATATACAATGTGTTTTTATTGTTTATTCATTTGTCAGTGTCTATAATTAGTTTTGCGAATCAGGTATTCATTTATATGGAGATTTATCAGTCTCTTTCAAGACCCCTTATAACGCTGTAAAGACAAACAGTTCTACACATATCTTGATAGGTCTGCTACTGAACTGCTTAACAGTGGCTTCCTATTACTCCTGACTACTACACTTCAACTCGAACAATGGAGAAAAGGCATTAAATAGGACCAAGAGTTTTACTTAAGTTATGTATAAAAAATCGTGTATATTTGTAGAGTTCCGTGTGACCTTAGTTTTGTAGAATTTGTCTTCATTTTCTCGATGTTTCTGAGGACCTTTTATTTAGTGCTGGTTTGGTAAAGTATTTCTTGGCTTTTTCCGGGTTTCTAGAGACGACAAAAAGGTATTTATGGACTTCTCAACATTTCTGATTGTCGCTTTCTCGGATTTCATAAGTATGGAACTATTGTATAAACTAGTCGATTGTCCTTGTGAAATGATTTACAGTCATTAATCGATATCTTTCCCTTGATTCTTTCAACTCTTTATCATCCATATATCGAAATATATTCTAATTTTGTTAAGCATCTCTTGGATCAGTTTTATTTCTGATATTACTATCTCAGAGTCTGGCATGTTAACATGCCAGTAGAAACTTATGTAAAATAAAAGGATGGTAAAATAAAAATATCTGTCAAAAAGGACACAGTGTTTAACATTTTGTACTGAATCAAAACGTTACTACAGAGATGTGACTAACATTTATCATGAGCTACATAATCATTGAATTTACCCGCCTGTTTAAATATTTCGCCTAATTAACTCATCTCGTTACTTAGAATTACAAGTTCTTATATATTTCGCAAAAATTATACGGCGACTCATTGAAAACCTACCAAATGGATGTCATTTATCCATGTAAGCTAAGAAACGTGGTAATGAAAGTCTCTGTTCTCCCATTATTTATACAGTGAAATGATCCTAATTATTTATTCCAGTCAGTGATGGCATAATTTATTCTAAGAGTTCACCTTGAAAAAATGTGATCAAACAGACTAAACCTTTATAAAATCTATTTCCGATGGGCTTTACATCCTTAAGAATTATATATTTTGCGTGATTTTCATGTCATTCCCACTGTATAATAATAGCAGAATAAATTTTTTTTTCATTGACTTTGAAAAACACCGACATCGTTAGTTAGTTAGTAGACTTTTCAAAATAAACTGGGAGAAATCACCTCCATCGTGTTTTATTTATCTCTATGATGAAGGTTGGAAACATTCGATAACATAATAAGCAAAGATGGATAGTAGCTAGCAGTGGAATTTAGGACGAGCGTTTTGTCCTATTTTAGACTCGTCAGCTGGATGTCCCAAATAGGACAAAACGCACGTCCTGGATTCCGCTGCTATCTACTATCCATCTTTGCTTATAATGCTTGTAAATTAAGGCAATACACACAGTATGCACATATTCTAATAAGAGACTGATCAATCGCAGTCCTAAACATCAATGAGAAGATTCAAGTAAGACAATATCAAGTGAATTCGATAACACAGTTAAGAATCAGTCGCAATATCTCAAATGTATTCAATATTTTTGTCTTCTTTCAGATTCTAACATTATTATCTATAGCCTAATCTTTCATACTACCATCAATACTGTTACTTCTAATACGGCTCCGACATTTCTCTTGATAATTTCATCTAACTATATTGATATGATATGACAACTTGAAATGATGAATCTTTATCTTATTTTCCTTTACTCTTTATGATTCATATAGTAGGTTCGCTATAAATACTTCTATTTACAATTTCTTACAATAGAAATCAGTTATTTAAGAATCATTTCTTATTATCATTCATTTTCTTAATTAATTATATTCTTTTTTATATATTTCTTGAGGCCATTATTAAGACATATGATTTCATTCAATGTACCACATTGTTCTATAGTACTATTATTTATTGTAAAGTACATACTACTTAGAATCAATCTCTTTACTTAACTTTACAATAAAGAATTATTCAGATTTATGGAATTTGTAAAAGAAATTTTTAGTGTATTAATAATGAGTTTAAATAAACTTTTAAGGTTAAAATTCACTTATGTTATGCTGTTATTTCTCTAGTTTCATGTAAGATTTCACATACCATTTCCGTTATTATTATTATTATTATCGTTATGATTAACTATAACACTACTTGTGTGGTGTGGATTACTTATATATCCATATAAGCAGTATGTAATAGTGGTCAAACATAGAATGTATTTCAGTAAAAGATCGATAAAGAAAGAACGAAAACGGAACGCAATTGTTATAAAAATGTATGGACAATGAAATCTGAAACAATGGACTGATATTTGCAAAAGGAACAGTCAAGTTTGAGACGATGGATTGATATTTTATAAATTAACTATTTACTATATAGTCCTCAGTTTTTAGTGAAATGCGCTGTAATTTCATGTCAAATACATTCGATTGTCCCCACTAGTGTTTTTGTTCACTACACTTGTGCTAATCATTAATTAGCAGTATTATATTATGACAAAAGTATGATATCATTAAGTTCAAAGAATTCTCATGAATTAGGAATTGTGTCAAATTACAGAAAACTATAATTTAAGCATTAATTCTGTTAGTTAATATTTACGAAATTTTATATATAAAATGTTGAATACTTTTTGATAGTCCGAATCAAATTGCCCCGTGTATTGGCTAATGATTGAAGATGGATAGTCCAAGCAAGACTAAATATAAACAACTATTTCATATAATAACATTGATTTAATTTACTAACTTGTCTATATTTTGTTAGTAAACTTTTAATTTGTATTTGGTTCTTGATTGAATTGCCAGATAATTGAGTAGTAGTGTATTTATCGTGTGATCAAGTACCGTGATAATAATTAATAGTGTTAGTAATACGTACAGCTTTTTCTCGTTATCACATCTCTAAAAAATTACTCTGTTCATAATTTGACTTCACGACTAGGATTTGCTGTATAAGTACTGTGTCCATTTTTCTAATTGCTGTATTCCCTTTATTTACGACTCACTATCAGAAGATTGAAAGCCACTTAAGTAATCTGACGAGAGATAAAAATCTTGTTTAACCTGAAATACGAAGACAAACATTTTTTAAATTTTTCATTGAAAAACTCGTACAAAGGAAGTGTACATCAATTCACTTCAGTCTCTTTACTCGACTAATATCGATCAAGCCTAAGAGCTTGTGATGAGCAGTCATCTGGTCAGGTTACGTCACACGTTTTAAGGAATATTTTTATAGATTGAAATCATGAGTCAGTTGAAGCTAGACCACCATTGAAAACCTGGAAGCACTGGACGGCCGTTTCGTTCTAGTATGGGACTCCTCAGCAGTGCGCATCCACGACCGCACACCACCCGGGGCTCGAACTCAGGACCTACTGGCTTCGCGCGCGAGCACTTAACCATTAGACCACTGAGCCGGCATCCAACGGTGTTAATGTCTAACTTCAACCAATCCACGAAGTTGCGCTACCGTACACCATTGTCTTCAGTGAGTTCCTATCTCACAACAGACCTGGTTGAACTCCACTGGTAACGACTTCTCACTAGAACTCCTGAAGTCAGTCACTAGTGAGCAGGTGATTATTATTATCAGAATGTGTTTTGTGGAGATTTTTAGAAATTTTCACAGATTTAAATCATGAGTCAGTTGAAGCTAGACCACCATTGAAAACCTGGAAGCACTGGACGGCCGTTTCGTCCTAGTATGGGACTAATGTATACGTTTCGCATTTTGAAGAGAAACGTACACTTACAGTATTGGACTGATAGCTCTAATACACAAAGCACTAAACCAAAATCAAATAACTAATAGCTAATGGAGGTTTATGTTCTATTCACTTCATAAAACTAAGAAAATCAGCCTAAACTGTTTTGTTTCATAGTGCATTGTTTCATGAATTTATTTAATCTACAATCATGATTATGGTGTATTTTTTTTAAAACAACCTTTAATCGTTGCTTCATTGTTATTCTACTTTTATTAACAAAACTAATTAATTTGAGGTGTTTGTTAGAACTTTAAAGTATAAATGTATATTTGTACTTAGCTCCTTTAATGTTAGCGCTGATAACTCACTAACTACTGCGTCATATGCAACATGTAAAAGCATCTATATGAACAGAATTAGTTTGCATGTCAGTGTCATATAAACGATGTGTATATGAATTAGATTAGATGAGTTATACCACGATCATAAGTAATTATCTACTCTTTAATGAGAAAATTTTCATCACTATTATTTCCTTTTTAACAAACATAATTAAAATGTCAAGTTTCTTCCGACATGATTGAACTTTAATAATTCTTAATGAATTTTCATTTAAGGTTCATACTAATTATCAATCTCAAAGTATTCGTCTAATCCGTCTACGTAATCCATGGGGTAACGATCGTGAATGGTCAGGTCCTTGGAGTGATCAATCTAGAGAATGGAGAAATATTCCACCTGATGAACGAAAACGAATTGGTCTCACTTTTGATGAAGATGGTGAATTTTGGTAAATATTCTTGTTTTTACTAATGAAATATTTGGATAATATTTTGTTAATAACATGGGAGAATTCATTTTTAATCTCGATAGAATTATTTAATGGATAGGATACATGTTCATGAATTTAAAATTCATCTGCCTCATTGTTTAATATGTGTACGGTTTCTAGTATTTTCTTTATCATTCAGTGAGTGAATGCTGCATATAAGATCATGATTTTCGTTGAGGGTTTCATTTTTAAGCACTAACGTTCACTTTATGTACTTTTTCATTCGGCTAGTTGGTATATGTTGCAATAGCCTGCTCATAAATGACTGAATAAAATGTAGTCCTCAGTGAAAATTACACTCCTATATCCCGTATAAAATAGTTTTAAATGTTGCACTTCTATTGAATATTAAAAAAGTATGATCATTGTCACACTTATTTAATCTTAAATCAAACTTTTTCACAAAGATCTCCCTTAAAGAAAATATGATTCGATCAAATTGTTGTTTGTATACATCAAATAACATTTATTTGCCACTTTTTCATTATTACCATTCAAATAATATCCGGGTTATCCTTTAACAGCTGAACACCGATATATATCGAATATAAATATACCCTAAACAGATCAAGATTGTTGGTGAAGTATACTCTACTTACAATCTCTAATAACACTTAATTAACCCTAAGAAATAAAGCTAATGTTTAACCATTCAGAATGCACCTGATATGAGTGAATAGTTTACTAAATAAAAACCGATTAAATGTTAGGATTAGAATTAGGAGTTTGATTTATGAGTTCTACATAGGGTTAGGAGTAGTAATGGTTAGGTATAAAATCAAAGAATACTTTGTAGCCATATTAATGAATACTTTTGTAACTGGTTCTATAACTTCAGATATGAAGAGCCCTTAAACAATCTTTAAAAATTTATAAGCCATGTTAGGATGTTTATGTATTTTAATTTTATGTTTTCCACGTCAACCTAATCCTTCACATATCACCGTTTTAAGAGTTTATCAGTTTCATTCCTATTCTTTGGTCTTTTCATTTCTATCAATTTATTAACAAAATATAAATAGACTTTACTAAGTATCTTACAAGGCTTTTACTAATAAGATACAAGCTCTCAATCATCGCATTTTGAATTTTGTGCAATAACATAATAGTCATTTGGAATCTGATTAGTTTGTCGGGAGAGTATAATTTTATCAAATTGATTACAATGATGTATTCTAACAACCATACTATCTCTTTTTAGAATAGATTACTTACAATCTGTTATTTATGATTTTTGCATTTTAATATCAAAACTTTTATTTGATGTTCCACTACCAGAACAAAACAATAGATTTCTATCAAAAATAAGTACGGTTTTACTTGTAATGTTCTAGGAGTTTGTTACAATTCTTTAATATTATCATTTCAATTAACATTCCTAAACAAATAAATCTCTTTTAAAATAGTGAGGTTTTATAATTCGTATTTTAATGATATCAGTCGCAACTTGATTGTATGTTAACGTCTTCGAATCTAATTGATTGTTTTGAAATTTCAAGTTTAACGTCAAAATTTTTAAGTTCAACTACCTGTGTAAATCATAACACAGTAATTTATCGTAAGTCTTCCTCAATCACAGATATGCACAATCAAGTTATGAATAAATTATATTCTATATTATGTTCGTCTACTGTGTAAACGTTACCATCAGGTAAGCTTAAGCAGCTTATTATCTGTTCTATCAACAGTCCAATAATCTGCAATTATTCTACTGATACGATATTTAAAGATTAGGCCTATCATTCGGGTCTTAATTGATTGTTGGTGAATGAGTGACCCACAACCTAATTTCTTCTAATCACCGATGACATCTTACCATGATCTGGCTAGTGGTCTTGTATTTGATCTCGAATCATTCGTGGACCCAAGCCAATTATATAGTCTCTTGAGTAGTCACCACTTGATCACATTGTATCATTGCATTCATCTTTCAATTAGCATTCTATTCACCGATCTTAACAATCGAAATATTGTCGAATCGAAACACAGAAAATCTCTTCTATAACAAATACTAAGAATGCGGCATATAAGTGTTTCCATTAAAACGTTTACATTTGTACTTTTTTCCCCGCATAATATGTATAACGACCAAAATTGATTGATGAGTGACAACGAGTTAGTCTAAATCTTCATTAATAATGATAAAAACATCATATGCAGTAGTAGCTCAGTGAATAACGTAAGGTGTTTGTTTTTGAAGTGGAGTACTGGGTTTGAGTCCTAACATGAACATCAACACGAATTCAGTTGCATCCAGCTGACATGTCACTAATGGTATGAAATGATGTTTCTAAATTCCACCCTTAGCCAAAACCCATTTATTTAGTTTTTTTAAATACCCAAATATACTGCTATACTAATTAGTTTATGGAACAATTTTCAATAGTTCACTATAGACTAAATGAAATTGTAATATCGTATCTAGATAGTTAAGAGATGTTTCCTAAGTGCTTCTTATTTCTAAAAAAGCTAAGGCTTTTGATAGAAAAAGATGTTTGTTTTACAAAGGTATAAACTAATCACTTGTATTTTTGAAAACGGAGGCAAAAGTTATCTGCTGTAACATGGTTCAGAATCGATTACAGTGGCGTAGTTGTATACACTCTCTGTCTTCGCTTAAACCCTGAGATTAAAATTAATTTATACCTCTCTTTCTACGAACTAATTGTTTCTCCTTCTATCATATTCTTATATGCAATCTTTTTTACATACTACTACCACTGAAGTAACTGCTGTGAATTTGTTGTTCATCTTGTTGTGCTAATGATGTGTGACAACTTGGACCGATGCATATATGTGCCTTGTCTTACGTTTTAGCTGACTGACTATCTGTTGTGTTCACAGTAATTATATTTCAGATATGGTAGTAGATATGTGATGATAAACGTGTTTTTTTTCATAAAAAAATATGAAAGTAATGTCGTCTCATTTCTTTTTAAGGATGTCTTTCGATGATTTTGTACGTTATTTCTCACGTCTTGAGTTATGTCATCTTGGACCAGAATCCGTAGCTTACAGTCCAGGTCCTGTCAACCGTCGTTGTAATAAACGTCAATGGGAAATGATATGTGAAGAAGGTGAATGGTTACGTAATTCAACTGCTGGAGGTTGTTCAAATTTTCCCAGTAAGTATGTAACAAATACTTGCATTTTAATCGATATTATGTGTTTGATCACATAAAGATCCTCGTTATATTTAAAAACACATATAAGAATGAAGAATATTCACTTGCTCTTGTGGAGCAGGTTACATGGGCCACACAAGGCGACTGCTTTCTAAATGCATCTCCGAATATTATCCTGCGTGACTTTTGAAAAGCGAATGTAAATCAGTCAATAGTTCATTGTTAAAACATCTTGTGAACTGTGGTCACATGGACCCACCTGACGAGTCCTTCTAAATCATACATACGATGAGGCGATTTGATTGGAAAGGAGTACAAATTAATAACTTGTGCATTGCAGAGACATTAACAATCTAAAGTATACAGTGTTAATTTGAATAAGTTATAATGTTTGCAAACAATCCCGTGTTCACATGTCATAAATTTCATAGATGTGTTTGCCTTAAATCTAGTAGTCACGTTTTGGATTATTAATTTGAATATACAACTGAAGTGCAGTGAAAGACAACTCAGGTGGAGATAACCGATTTATCGTTTAATGCAAAATTACAGAGTGCTTTCGTAAAATATACAAACCATATATTAGATACATAATTTGTACATCTTCCATCAGTTGTCTTTTAAATGCTTCATGGTTGTTTCAATTCTGTTGTTAATACAGTTGATTCCTGTTTCCCCTTCCGTTTTCAACTGAATGTTCTCAATCTTCTGATAGTATGCATTCCACTTCTGATTGCCGTTACACACTGTTCATATCTGTCCACATAGAAGGAGTACACCACGGTAGAACCTGGTGACCAGGATTGATGTTACAATATTTGTAAATATTGAAATTTAGCACCTCAGTTTTTTTATTTCACCATGAAACTTGATATAGTTAAATTATTCATTTGAAAGTTATTGTTATATTCTATTGGATGATGAGGAGTCAAAATTATATATATATATATATATATATATATATATATATATATATATATATATATATATATATATATATATATATATTGTCATAACTTTTGATAATCGTATGATATAATCCTTTACTTTTGTACGCTAAACAACGTACTTAAATCGGTGAACAATATATTTTTGTAGGAATATTTATATTACTGTCAATAGTATGAGTTTTATGTAAAAACATATTTTACTCTGCTAGTAACTTTAATTGAACGTTATGTTCATCACGTTGCTTTTGTAGATACATTTTACATGAATCCACAATTTCATGTTGAGGTTGTTGATCCAGATGAGTCAGATACAGATGGTAATGGCACTCTTGTGGTTGGTTTGATGCAGAAGGGATTAAGAGAAAAACACGTTGAACCTCATGTGATTGGTTATTCTGTATTTCGGGTAAGAATTTATCCAATTACTGCTATAAGAGTCATGTTCCAAAACTAATCATTGTTGTAGCTTTAAAAATAATTTATTACGATCAAATAATTACACAGTAGCTATATAGGTTTGTGTCATTAGAAGGATAGGAATCCGACTAGAGGTATCATCAACCTCTTCGTTGTTCAATAATTACGTTGTATCGAACAATGTCAGTCACTATTTTCCGTCTTTTTATTAAGTGAATACTTCATACTAGTATGTGATTTTCGGTAAAGATTTCGTCTGAATCCCTAACGTCCACCATATCCAACATGTTAGTTGTGCTAAACTGACATCCCCGTAGCATACAATTACAAATAGCTCTATCCGCTTGAGATGAAATAGACAAAATTGCACTCCGACACACAGTATTCACACATAATAAATAAACGAAACATTTGTCGAGAGTGATGGGCTAGATGCAAGGCAATTATTCAACACTAAAAATATCAATCTTGATGACTGTATTCAGAAATATCACTTGTTTTTGTGACTTTATATTTTGGTTTATTTCTCTGCAAAAACGCAAGTCAGGCTGGTGGACATGCTGTTAAAAGGATTTTATTTCCGTCATTGAAGAAGAGTTTTGCAAAGACTTTCATTCTAAATATCCCATACTCGTTAATCTAACACAGCGACATAGTTTTATTTATTGAGAGTTGCCTAAATTTTAAAGCCAAAATCAAACCTAGGGATTTATCTATAAAACGACACTATTATTTGTCATAGGATAAGTCATGCATTTCATAAACCACGATTTGTGGTGTTATCCACGTTGCTTACACGTTTTAATAAACATTCGTAAAAGTAGTGCCCCCGGGAACAGTTATATAAGGATTATTTTTCGAAAAATATGGGATTAGCTAAGTACCTGAACCACTGTGTTAATGTATGAGTGTCAGCCAACAAAATGGAATGTTATCTCTGCATACCAAGTAACAGATGAAAAGATGTCCAGTGAACACCAATAGACGAAGATAAACTAAAAGAATAAAACTACAATTATGAATGAATTGAATGTCACAGAATCAAGAAGACATGTCAAAAATGATCAACCATGACATAATTTATTGGATATTAGTAAGACGTGTGATCGAATGCACAAAAGTAACTGGATTAATAGAAAATGTTTGAAAAGTGCAAGTACAATAAACACTAGTAGTTTCTTAAACAGTCTGCAAACATGCATTTTGACTACCATGCCAGTCTTTATGTAGTTTTATTAGAAAGCACTAGGATACTGGCTAAACAGTTCATTTGTATTTGAATATCCTTCGATTGGATGAATTTATAAAATCAGTCAGTCAGCTACAACGTAGGACCAGGCACATATGTGCATCGGTCCAGGTTGCCATACCGCATCAACACAACAAGATGAACACCAGATTCATAACAGTGGTTAGGTAAAAGGTGGTAATATATAAGAGAAAGATTGCATATAGAGATATAGTACAAGCAGAAAGAATTGGTTCGTAGAAACAAAGATATGAAGCGATTTTAATCTCTTAGTTTAAGGGAAGACAGGGAGTGTATACACCGACGCCATTGTGATCGATTCTGAGCTATGTCACCAAGAGTCTCCAACCATGGGTTACGAAAGTCACGCGGACCCCAACCAAGTAGTCTGCATCTACCAACATGGCTCAGACTAGAAGTTAGTGACTTCAAGCACTGATGCCACGTTTTGGTTTGGCCGCCCCTAACTTTCTTCCAACCATTTCCAATACCGGATAGCATTGCACGTCGTGGTAATCGGTGTTCAGGCATACGTAACACGTGGCCCAACCATCTCAGTCGATGAAGATTCATAACCTCATCAACTGATTTACCATCATTACCTAAAACCCTGAGTCTAACCTCACTATTACTTACCCAGTGATCCCAGCAGACGCCAGCAATATTTCTTAGGCATCTGTGGTCAAATACTAATAGCTTACGAGTGTCTTCTACTCTTAATGGCCATGTTTCGCTGCCGTAAATTAAAACAGAACGGACTGCCGCGCAGTATACTCGTCCTTTTATTGATAGACGGATATCTCGCCTTCGCCACAGGTGACGTAAGTTGGCAAAAGCCAAACGAGATTTTCGAATCCGTGCTGAGATTTCGTCCGATACCAGCCCATTAGGGCTGATCAGACTTCCAAGATAAGTGAAGTTGTCAACGCGTTCGACTACTTCACTCCCTATAGTTAGTTCAGGTGTTAACGCAGACCAGTCCTGAAGCAACAACTTGCATTTAGAGGGAGAGAAGCGCATTCCAAACATCCTGGCATTGTTGCTCAGTGCTAACAGAAGATTCTGCATTTTTTCAGCGTCTTCACCAAACAGGACTATGTCATCTGCGTATTCTAAGTCGATAAGTGGACCTCCTGGATGGAGATCAATACCCGAGAACTCAGTCGATGAGAAAGTTATTTCCATCAGTAGATCTATGATGAAGTTAAACAAAAATGGGGAAGTGGACAGCCTTGACGGACACCACTTGAGGTTGCAAAACTAGATGACAGTTCGCCATAAGCTCTCACTCGACTAGTAGTGTTCGAGTAAAGAGCCTTTACAAGGTTTATGTACTTCTGGGGTACGCCTTTCAATGACAGACACTGCCACAGAATCTCACGGTCTACCGAGTCAAATGCTGCTTTTAAGTCAAGAAAGACCACCATCGTCGGACGCCGATAAGTATGCCTGTGTTCTAGAACCTGACGAATGGTGAATATGTGGTCGATGCAGCCACGACCAGGTCTGAAGCCAGCTTGATTTTCTCGTGTTTGCAGTTCACGAGTTTTAGTTAGGCGTCTGATTATTATTGAGGCTAGTATTTTAGATATTATATTAGTTAAACTAATCCCTCTGTGGTTGTCACAGGATGATTTTGACCCTTTCTTATATATTGGGACGATAAGTGATTGTGACCAGTCAGATGGAATAACGTCTAACTCCCAGATCTTAGCTAAAATATTAGTCAACCTAACCGCTAAAATTGGACCACCATCCTTAAAGACTTCTGGAGCCAGTCCATCTGGACCAGCAGCCCTTCCTCGTTCCAGATTATCTATAGCCTTTTGAACTTCAGCAAGAGTTGGGGGACCTACTTCAATGTTCCATTCACGCTGTCTGGGAATGGAGGGTAGTTGTAGAGTAGCTGAAGGCCAGTTGAACTGTTCTCTGAAATGTTCAGCCCATCGTTCTAAACGCCTGGACTGGGAGCAGATGAGTGTATCGTCTTTTTCCGATATAATCTCACTTACACTTGACTTATTAATTCCAGTTTCTTTTATTAGTCTGTAAAGCTGTCTTGTGTGCCCTATAGCCGCCGCCTTTTCCATCTCTTTTGCTTTCGTTGCCCACCACTGCTCACGGTCGTTTCTTAGACTTTTTCTTAACCTAGATCTGATTTGTTGTCGCTCTTTATCATGTTCGGAACCTGATGGAACTAGTTTGCGAGAATCCATCAGTGTGATAGACTTTGAAGAAATCCAATGGTCCTTTGAAACTCTGTGGTTTAAGTTGCTAATAGATGTCACTGCTGCTTCCACAGCTGCTTGTATGTCTTTCCAAGCAACATCTGGGTCAGCCTCGTCTTCAGAACTACCTAAGTGTGAACTCAGTTGTTCTTGGAACCTATTTTTGGATTTCTCGTTACTCAATTCAGTTCTAATGGGTCTTTTTAATGTGGCGTTTTTGCGTCCAGTGAGGCGCAAACAGATGCGTGCCCGTATTAGGGCGTGGTCGGAGTCCAAGCAGGTACTCCAGAATGAGCGACAATCTTCTACCGACCCTCTCCAACGATGACTGATGGCAATATGGTCTATTTGAGTCCATCGTTGGTTTGGTGTGGGGGGTCGCCATGTTAGACGATGTCTCTCCTTATGCTTAAAATTTGTGTTTGCTAAAAATAAGCGATTGTCTGAGCACAGTTGCAGCAGACGATCACCATTATCTGTTCGCTGTGCCGGAATGCTAAAATATCCACCTAAATGCCTTTCTGTTTGGTTTAAGCTACCTATCTGAGCATTAAAGTCACCCCCTACGAGTACTATGTCTGAGCGTTTAGCTTTCTGAAGAAGTTCAGAAAGCTTTCTGTAAAATTCATCCTTCACTTCATCTGAGCTGCAGTCAGTGGGAGCGTAGGCAGAAACGACAAAAAGGCAACGACGTGTGTCCTTATCCTTCCGAGTTCTTACGGAGCCGTTTAGCCGAACAGCACATAGACGACTGTTGATGGGGATCCACTCTAGCAGTGCTTGTTCGGCCCTCATGCTTAGTGCTATGCCTACACCTGCCAGTCCACGAGAACTGGCCATCGGGTCACCAGATACACGTAGGGTGTGTCTAGTTGGCTCTCCGTTTTGCCGAGGTGAGGTCAAGTGGATGACCACACTGGAATCCTGTATGCATGTTTCGGAGACACAGCATACATCGATGGAAAGAGACTTTAGGGTTTTAGCCAAGGAAGCCTGCTGACCGATTTGACATAGAGTGCGTACGTTGAAAGCTCCAATGTGTAGTTTGGAGCGAGGTTTCAGTAGACCTGGGACAGAGTTTTGAGCACTAGAATCGTTGGCTATGGTGACGCTTGAGGAAGAAGCCGAAGGAGGAAGTTTAGGGTTGAAAGTCGATGTAGGAGGAATAATAGGAATTGAAGAAGAAGGTTGATTATGAATACAGTGGTCTTGGGTGCTGTTAGAGGTATGAGGGCGGTTATCACTTCCCGGTTGCCCACACCGTGGAAGGGTTCTTCTGGAGGTGCCTGAAAAGGAAATTGGATTAGAGGCGGTTTCAGCGACCTGAGAGCGTGACCGCAGTGCCCAAGGGACAACTGCTTGAGGCCGGTCGCGCACGGCCTTTTTGTGGAAGGTTTTTGACGTGTTAGCTCCATTCTTCAAAGAGCCTTACCGCCGGAGACGGAAATCCGTGAGGTAAGGCGAGGTGTGCATTTTTAGGGTCGACCTTTTCTAACCCCACCCTCCTTGTGGGAAGGCAGCATCGCTGTCATGCTGGTTGTCTGAAGGAAACACCTTACTGCTGTCACACCTCTGTACAGTCAGCAGTACGACTTCGCCTTCGGACCTTGGGTTTGTTGCTTTTAGTCTTATCGCTCTTCAACCGACCTGTCTGACATGGTAGGACCTTGAGGAACAAATGTTCCAGCCAGTATAGCTCGGTTGCTTCATCACGATAGGCAAGCCCGACCACCACGTCAAGGTAGCAACAACGGTCGAGAATTTATAAAATACAATTGTCTTTAAAATGAACATAATAAACTTTGAAATTCCAGATTCCTCGATTGCATACAATAACTGCAAATTCTTAATTGATTCATCAAATATTATTGTAATTTCTCTTATTGCTTGGTAATCTTGGACACTAATTTACTCGACTAGTCCCCAAATCAGAACACGTTTGAACAGAAACGTAATTATATTATAAATAACAATGATAGATGGAAGTAGAAATCACAATAAAATACGCGTTTGTATATTTAGAGTTTTTACATTAAAAAAAAGTTTCCAGACACTTCTCTGATTCTCTGTTAGCTATGATTGGTTAAGAAATAGCCAGTCAGTGTGCCCCATCACAATTCTTCAAGGAAAATGCTCTAATCCAGTCTTTATCGCGCTAACAAGTACATTTTTATGTACGCAGCTTTAAGAAAAAGGTGTGTTTTGACCGCTAGCATTACTACCTCTCTGTTTACGCCAAAAGAGATAATCAGGGGAAGAAGTAGCAGTTTTTGATATAGATAATTCTTGTAAACAACTACCAACTTGATTATTTTGTACAGTTATTTCTTATGATTCTTCTTTACCCTCTGATCTGTCCATTTATCACTTTTATAGATGCCTCCATCTGCTCCAAACAATCGACTGTTAGATCGAAGGTTTTTTATGACTAATTCATCTGTAGCTCGATCACCGGTATTTATTAATATGCGTGAAGTTTGTGGTAGGCATAAATTAAAACCAGGCCATTATGTGATTATCCCGTGTACATTTAATCCAAATGAAGAAGCTAAATTTATGCTGCGTATATTCTCTGAACGAGCATGTGGTTCAAAGTAAGACAAAAAATTTTTTACTATATTAGGTTCTTATGAAGTTCTTTAATTGCCCCCCAAATGCTACGATACGGCCAAGGGTGTGGAGAGTCATCTCTCCCTCTCGAAATGCGCTCACGTGGCCACGCGTATACAGCCACTGTCAGGGAAGTCTTACTCACCACCCTTTCGTGGCACTACTGTTGTTTACGAAATCTTGAGGATGAAAAACAAATCTCCGATGCTTTAACTGGATTGGTGAGCACGAACAGTTCACTTATGGGGAGTTGAAAAGCCCCGACTCCAAAGCAATGGCGCATAAGAGCCCCAGGATCCTGAGGGAACGAATGGCGTATGAACTTATTGTTGGTCACTGGCTACCATGGGACTGCATCTCCTAGCGTTGCTCTACTACCTTATGGATTAGACCTGCGGGTCAAAGGCTCGGGATGTAACCCTCTAAGAAAACTGTCGGGAACATCACAGCCCTCACGCACATCAGTGACAACTACTACTGCACTCATTGTTATTGTGTGACGCATATGTATTCGGTGCCCCTTTGTACCGATGTTTGTATGTTCAAATAAATAAAATCTTGAATTTCATAGCCAGTATCACTCATTGATTATAATCTGTCAAACATTGAAAACGTAGAAGCACTAAACAGTTTGAGACTCCTCAATAGTGGTTGTTCTAATTATTTTCGTTTCTATATTGTTCAAACTGACGACGTTTATAGTACCAAGATGAATGATTGTTTCAATCTCTCCATAAAAAGAGAGGTTATCTGGACTCAGTCGCTAAATTGGTAACGCTATAGCATTTGAAGCGAACGGCACTGAGCTCAAGTCCCGGAGTGAACATCAACTCTGGGATTCAGGTATGTCCATCTGAAGAGTCTCAATTAGGGTGAAACATGCGTCCTGGATTTCAATGCAAGCCAACATCCATATTTGCTTGTAACGCTAGTGACTCAAGGCAATCCACATTGGATGCACATATGTCAAGAAGGGACTGATCAACTGCAATCCAAAACATCAATGGGAAGATTCAAACAAACAATACAAAGATGAATTTTTAAAAAAGATTTTATGGTAGTTATGACAAAAGTTTATTATACAAATAGCACTTTTCTCTATGAGTCTAAGTTAACTTGTTTTCTTCAGCCACAGTTAACTTTTGAAATTTTCTCAGTTTTATTACTTCTTTTTAACATGAGTGTAACATACTGATTACTATTGTGAGTTATAAAACTTACCCATTTCATAAATCAACAATATTATTAGTTGAATTCATGAGTCGATCTAAACTAGACTATCATTGAAAACCTGGAAGCACTTGATGACCGTTTCATCCTATCATGCGACTCCTCGGCAGTGCGCATCGATGATCCCGCACGTGGGATTCAAACCCAGGACTTTCGGTTCCAAACTAGGACGAAACGGCCGTCCAGGTTTTCATTGGTGGTCTAGCTTAGATCAACTCGTGAATTCAACTATTAAAATTACTACAATCTCCTCAAATCCCTATTCTGATAACAACCAACAATTATCATAAATCCCGTTAGATTTCAGAGGTATGTTAATTCTTAGGTAAGTGACTTTTACTTAAAAGTAGTCAATGAAAAATCTGGTGTGTAAAATTTATGTATACAGTTTCTGTTTTAAATTTTCTTAAGTTCAGTGCCTTTATTTAAGAGAACAATTATTTAAATACTTGTGGATGCTGTTTTTATCTGTTAATCTGTAGGAAGTATGTTAGTTAAGTTACGACTACACTTCAGTTTGTCAGCTGAAGTTACTAAAAAGAAGCAATTATGTTACTATTAGTTTTATCCCAAATAGTTTATTGATAACGTTTTAAACTGGAAAGCCGAATGACGCGATTTAGAACTACACAATGAACACCTGTCTTGCCGACAAGTCTCAACTAGCACCTACTCGAAGTCCAGAATGTCCTGTCGACCGACTACATCCAGCTCCTTAGCATCTCAACATAGTACATATGATGTCGAATCATTCATTTAAGTGAGCATTTCGCAACTTGACCGATAGAATTCGATCAACTTTGAAAGATCTAGATAAATATGACATTAGTTACTAACCAATCATTAATAAACTGTATTATTTTTTGTTATTGTGCATACTGTTTTCCCTATAGGAAGATGTTGCAGTTTTTTCAATTATGATCGTTTAATCATTAAATTTAGATCATATTTGTATAGATAACGTTCTCAGCACTAACTCCAGATAGAAATTGAAAACTTTTCAGAATATCTTTGATCTGTAATGACAATATTTTTTGTGTTTTTCACATATATACACAGTTTATGACGAGTTTTGTTTCAACACTGGTCATGAAATGATTGTGCAAACAAATATCTTTAAATTCTTGAATTCGTCTAAAGATGTACAAGATATATCATTCACCGTACTGTATTTTTCTGCAACTAGTTTTCTTTGTTGTTTTCAAGTGTTTGGCAGAGAGAGAGTGTTGTCTAAAACTGTGAAAAGATGAAAGAGAATATCCTTATATAGGTGAATACTGAATATATATATCTACTCAGCCTGGTTAAAAGCTGATGATTCCTCATTGTTGATTGGGATAAACTTCAGAATTGAGAAATAAACTTGTATAACTTAATTCTCACTCGGATTTTCTAAACTGTTTTTATATAGTTTTATTTTGTACCGCTGAACAATTTTTCTGTCTCTAGATGCTTCAGATCACAAATTGACATTTGTTGATTTTGCTATTGTTGTTTAAATCATTATCCTCTGAGTAGCTGTTATGGGAATCCTCAGGAATGAACACATACATACTTGATTGTATGACTAGAATCATCTATAAATCAAACTTCTCTTTGCAGACCCCTGAACTAAACCATGTATCATACTTTGAATTTTCATTAAGTTAACTTCAAATTAGTTAGTGATTGATGTGTACTATAGAAAGCTAAAAATTATTGCTTGGTTTCTCTGTTGAATTAGAGGTCGCCAACAGTTGTTGTCCACGCCTAATGTTTCTAGTATCCTTCTTCCATTGTGGGGCATAAATTTTCTTGCATTTTGCTGTAGAATTGATTTTTTTAATATATTCAATCATCCCAAAATATGTATCTGAATGATATGCAACAATAATAATACTGTGTTGTTTTTATCTATTCAAATTTTAGTGAGTTAGACGACGATACTCGGATCACTTTTATAGATGGAGTAAGTGTTATAGTATATTATTACAACATAATTCATCTATGTATTTGTCTTTAAGCTGATAATGTGCGTGTATTTGTTTGTAATTAATGGGACTTGGTGCAGTAGTACTGTTTTATGCACCTCTTATGTGGACAGATATAAGTAGTATGTATGCACATAATGTACGATTTTCATATTTTACAAAGGTACTGTGGGATTTTACACAAAATAATAAATTGGTTTACTTTGCCTGAGTTTTCGTTCATTACCTTTGGGGTCTTTGCCTCCGGCGAGGCGGAGAGAGGTCAGTTCTGCGGGACCGATAGGGAGTAGTTAGTTGGAATGATCTGGAAAGGAAACGTTGAGTGTAGTGGTCTGGCGAGGCGATGTTGAATGTAGCAGTCGCCTTTGACTAGAGAATACGGGATGTGCCGGATGGACATCGGATGTAGGCTGCCCAGTGATTCGCTGTTGGTGTAAAGGTGTTGGACGTCCCGGATGCTGGGCGGACATCGACCTGTAGACAGAGCTACGGAGGTCGATGCCCCGGTGAACTCGACATTTCGGTGGGGAGCAAGGCACAGACTGACGAATGATAAAGCAGCATGGCGATCATAACAATTGCAAGAGCGACTTTTTAAAGCGGGAATGCGTGTGGTATGCTCCTCGTATGTGGACAGATATAAATAGTGTATAGCAGGAGTAGGATGTGGAATACTAGCAGAAGATTGAAACAAAGAGAACACGAAGCCAAACAAAATACAATCGGAATAACAACAGAATTAGAAGGATGATGGATTATGCAAAGGACAACTGAAGGAAGATGTACAAATGATGCGCTTAACGTCTAGTTGTCATATTTTACAAAGGCACCTCGTGATTTTACTTGATTTTTCGTTCACTATAGTACTACTCGGTCGATCAAATCAAAGTATTTATGGTATGTAGGTAGGATACAAAACCCGGCGTTTAGCGACTTGACAATAGTCAAACTACTTAACTAACTATTTATCCCTAGTTAAATGCTTAAAGTTTTTAATAAGCGTTTATTGGTTACAAATTAGAATAGATTAAATTTTAAGTTCTTTTAATACAATATTTATAACACCTTGTTTCTTTTTTATGACAAATACATGATTTGTGAGTAAATATGTGATATGCAAAATTATTGGTCACAATCCAATCATCATCAAATAGTTTTAGTTGTTAGCTTCTGTTCATTACTTCTTTTTCTATGTTTCTTCCTTGAAGCTGCGTTTTAGTTTAGTTTTCTAAGGTGAATGTTATAAATTATTTGTAGATTGTTCAAATCCACATTGAGGTAATCTATTATTATATGTATGTATACATTTGTAAACTGAGTGGTTGAATCACACAGATATCCGTCATATAAATCAGTCAGTCAAACAAACTTGGTGAAACTAAATTAAATAAACAATCAGTTCAATTGGATAAGCTAACTTTAGATTGAATATTTATTTAATTTTTCGTGGAGAGTTGTTCACTTATGAAATTGTCTGCATTTTGAACTGACTTAATCTACATCATTATCTTTCACTGGACAGTTGTTTCATCTTAGTCTTGAACTATTCAACAACAGTTCCCATCCGTGGTTCTGCTGGAATTCAAACCTAGAAAATCAATACCTCATGGTAATGGCGTTTCCTTTATATCGCCAAATCAGTAATAGTCCTTACTTTCTGTTATATCCTAGTGAAGATTAAATTATAGGTTGCTTCTGAGAACTATTAATCGAGTAATATTATATATATATATATATATATATATATATATATATATATATATATATATATATATATATACTCTTATTGTATAACTATTCAGTAATTAAATTATGTATGTTCATATTCCTCTTATTATAAGCTTTATTTTGATCTATTGACTATTATGATACGATTTACTATTCTTAAATTATACTCTGTTTATTAATTAGTCTCCCACGATCACAGCCACTTTTTGGCTTGATCTTGTAAAAATGTTATTTCCTATTTTATAGTGTGATGTGGTCTGGTTAGCTTTTTTATAAACCAGATATGTTTGGAATAAGTGATTCATATAGTGGGAGCTGGTATTAGTGTTCTGGACTCTACTGGTAGGGCTAGGAGGAATAAAGACCAATAAGGACGCTAGGTTGCTCATACCAGTCGAACGTCATTGGTTTGGCACAGTGTTAAGTTTATATAATTCGTATTTCGATTGGCAAATAAGTCGTGTGATAATTAGCCGGGCTTATAAGTCACCACACTTTCGACCTTAGTTAGTTTGTAATGTAGCAGACCTATCACCCAGTTTTCTGGATATCCATCGAATGCAAATGATAAATATTATGTGAGCACATACAGTATATATGATCAAGCTAAATGATAACGTATTTCGGTGCCCTGTATATAGAACCATACAAAGCATGGAAGTTGGTTACAATAGCTCAGATGTATTCACTCACTTCTTTCCTTTATGTCCCGGGGTTCAAAATGATTTTATACTCTCTTATTCTACGAATTTGTTCTTTCTTCTCAATTCATATTATTTATGATTTTTTTTTCTACTGCCGTTACTGATACTGTTACTACTTCTACTTCGACATTTGTCTTGATAATTTCATTTCGCTTTGCTGTAATGCTTTGACAACTTGAAACGATTCATATATATACTAAGCACTATATTGCACATGACTAACTGTATAAAGCACAATCGGTTCTTAGCTATTAACCCCCAAGTAACTATCAAGTTGTATCTCTGTCTACTTTCACTTACATCTATATGGCATTTAAGAACGTTTGAATGTAATTGGATTTTTTTCTTGTTGTAAAGATTAGTCTTGCTATTTAATCAATTTCTAGTTTAATACTAGATTTGTTCATATTATTTCTTTGTGTTCGATTTGTTGGTATTTACATCTGTTTTCTTCTGTTTTGTTTTTTATTATATATTGATAGCCTGATCACCCCATTAGAACAGCTGATGATAATTTAATAGAGAAATTACAAGTTGTCTTCAATAAAATAGCTGGTCCGACTGGCGCAATCACATATACTCAATTACAAGATATATTAAATGAAGCATTTACAAAAGGTAATCTCCAGTAGAGTTAGTTTATGTATTAAAAATCTCTTATTATTCATATATATGCTATATATACTAAAGTTTCTGAGATATGACCTGTTGATATTTATACTTACTATTAACAATTACTTGAGACGCTTATCAAATAATCATTCAGATTTTGGAAGTTTATGTTAACAATAGAACCATAAATAAAACAAAACTGGTTACTTATTCGAATATAGTAGTTAGTGTCTAGGAGCTAACATATTATTTTCTTACATTTTGGAAATCAAGAAACTTGTATTTGAATCATAATATTATAGAGTTGACCTATAGAATTTGAACAATTATTTCACATCCATTGCAATCCTTTCTCGTTCGTATCCAGTGTGTATTATTGTTAAATCTCACTCTATATATACGTATGACATATAACTAGTTGTAACTGTATGTGAATATTGTGATGGCTACTCACCAATATCACTCGACAGAAACAACAATCGAAATCCGTCTCATCACCGATAACTGTGTCAAAGATAAGCTCTTATTGATTCTAGATTCGGTAGCTTCTCTCCCTACAGAACACAGTAATCAATTTAAACAACACGAATATTATATTTTAAACATATTGAGTTTATGTACTGACATACCAGACCATAAAATACGAAATAATTATACATGATCAAGCCAAAAAGTGGTTGTGATCAGGGAAGTTACTGTGAATAATAAACTGACAAAGGATTAGTTAATGGGTTAACCTGAAACTCATAATAAAAGGAATATACATATAGTAACCTAGTTACTTAATAATTAGTAAACGGAATACACCCATTATGACATTAAATAAGAAAGAAAGATTAGTTCAGCGAAGAGTTCTCTTTTCGGCGAATTCATTTTCAAAGTTGTACAATCGCAAATATATATACTTACTTTTACAGGGTGATAATAATACTGATAATAAACTTATGTTAAACATGGTGACAGTGAGGTTAAATAAACAAAGGTATTATAAAAAATTTTTAAAACAAGGAAAGTTTGATAGTTAATGGCTTAGATATTCATCGGGTAAAGGTAGCTCAGCATGATAAAATAACAAAATGTTGAAACAGAGATGAAATGTAATCGGAATGATCGTGGAAATAAAAACAAACCGGTTGGGGGTACAAGATTTGAAGGGAAGATGGAAGGTGAAGCAGGTGGCTGTAAAAGAACAAGAGTAATGAGAAAGAGAAAAAAATTTTAATACATTAAGACCATGGTAAAAGAAGAGGTTGTACCAGTCTCTTTTGTACACATAATTCTGGTTCTTCAAAATGTATGGCTATTGCCTCGGCAATGCAAAGAAGATGCAGTCTAGTTGTCTTAGGAAGGCTTCTACTTACCTTGTAGATGACTTTGAACGCAGAGTCTGTCTTGATTGAGTGACCTGTGTTCACAAGGTGTTCGATTATAGAACTTCTTATTGAGCCGCTGCCTCCTCTTCGTAGCCACGCCGGACAATGTTCTTGAATTCTTTCGGATAAAGTACGCATCGAACGACCTATATACCTAGCTCTACAAGAGCAGGTAAATTGGTAAATGCACATTGAGTTGGTCAGATGCGATAATTTATCTTTCAGATTATTGGTGAACAGTGGTCGTCTGGAGAATATTATTCTCCTTTGTTTATTTAACCTCACTGTCACCATGTATAACATAAGTTTATTATCAGTATTATTATCACCCTGTAAAAGTAAGTATATATATTTGCGATTGTACAACTTTGAAAATGAATTCGCCGAAAAGAGAACTCTTCGCTGAACTAATCTTTCTTTCTTACTTAATAATTATACAATATATATATATTCATGCGATCAGAAACATATCTGAGTTATTCAGAATAATATGACGAAGGATATCTGCAGTATTTTCAATATACAACGTGTTGCACCTAGTGTTTTCAGATAATTGTTTCATCCATTTAGTGAATAAGTGCTGCGTAAGTGAGTTTAATTTTTACAAACTATTTCAAATGTCTGGAATTATCCATAACTGTCTGTTGTCAACTATCAGTATAGCATAACTCAATATAATGAAAAAAATTACTTATGAAACTTAAGGTTTGTAATGAAACCTTTCATAATAATTATTTTCTAATATACACCACTTACATAAAACAAATAGAACATTAGTTGAAAGTTCTGGATGAGACATTGCAAACACTGAAGGTGTTTCAGGTGACTTCAGACGAACAACTTATGTAGATGATACCAACTGTATTGACACAATTTACGAGTGGGGAATAAATGTTGTACAACTCATTCACAATACTATATATATATATATATATATATATATATATATATATATATATATATATATATATCAAAACACATATGAGCCGAAGTCTAAATAACTTAATATAGTGACTGTAATTACAGCACTATGGGACACTATTTCAAATAAATGCATTCAGTCGAAAAAGACTATTTCAGAATTTTCTTCCGATTAGCTTCAAAAAGGTAACACTAAACTTTTTATCTATCTAGTAGATACATTTACTGTGAAAATTGTTTTATCTCAAAATATCATGAATAGCAAATGGTTTTATCAGTTTTATATTGATATGTAAATCCTAAGGGGATTGACTATCTTAAAAAATAACTGAAAATTATTGAGTAGCGGCTAATCATTAAAAGATGAAATTTTAAACCAAGCTTATTATTCATTTATCAATTTAAAAATGTCAATAAACTCTATTGCCGTATCGTGTATCTAATCAGTCTTCTGATCCAACTCTTGAATCGGTTTCCTAAGCTCTTTTGATAACCTCAAGCTAGATCTACATGGCAACTTGAACATAAGAGGAAAAGGCGCGAAGTTTGAAAATAACGTTTTACTCCAACGTTTGTTCATGTACAGAAAATTGAGGGTATTTATAGTATTTCAAATGGCCTTAGATTCTTGGAAGTTCCTGAAACCATACTAAATATAGTAGCAGGTTAGGTAACCATTCAATCAGAAACGTGGAACGCGACTCCTTCCCTTTCTATATGGTTTTGAGAAGCTTCTGTTCAACTCTGAATGGATGTAATGTTTCCTAGCGTTTTCAGAGCCTCTGAACTTTTCCAAGAAATTCTTTGGATCTCTTCAATAGTATCAACTACATCAGATAATACGTTGCAAGAAAAAAAAACAAATTGATGGACAAAGATCATCTTTTATTGTTGGTTATAGTATACATTAAAAATGAATAGTTTAGTTGACTTAATTTTCTTTAATTTATTTCTGTTGATTTTTTTTTCTCATTTAGATTTTCCATTCGATGGATTTAGTCGAGAAACTGCTAGAAGTATGATGGCCTTAATGGATGTATCCTTTTGTTTTTAATTCTGTCTATGGAAATTCAATTTTAGACTAGCAGTTTTTCAATAAATGTTGGAGATTAGTAATAATAACCTTTGATAATAGGTGGTTGTGCGACCAGTAAATGTGCTCTCCATGAAACTTAAAGTTTCTGGATTCGGTCTCCGTTAAGGTTGTAGATGTACACTACTGAAGGACCGCATTATCAGAATGAAACAGCTACTCAGTGTATTCACGTTCCTAATGATTATCAATGTGTTATGCAAACTAATAAAATCAGCAATTTTCACAATCAGAAAGCGAAGTTAACTGGATGAATAACTGAAAGAAAGGCCTAAAAGCATTACACAGCTAGTCACTTCATCGTTTTTTTTAAACACAGCTTAGCAGTGTATGGAAATGCTATCATGACATGAGTTAGATTCCGAAAAACATTCTTTTTGATATACTTTCTTCTTACACGTAGATAAATTCAATTGCTTTTTTATGTTATTTACAATAACATATTCAGATAAATTTGGTAGCAATGATCTGAGTGTTCTTTCTCCCTTAGAACTGACCACATTTTACTTGACTTGAATGATAAGTTAAATGTTGATTCGAAATACAACTCAAGGTACTATCCGAAATGTTATGTCAATTGTTAAAATTAATGTCTATACCATTAAACTGATAATTTAATCCTTTTCACTCATTTCATTTATCATTCTTTTCAAATAATTTGAGACATTTGGCAACCGGTTTCATTTTTAAAAAGAATGAAAACGTTTCAGCGTAAATGTTTTCTTCTCGACAACATCATTGTCTAAAGCTGTATAATTGTATTCATATATATATATATATTGTATATAGTAACACCCTGTGTTATAAAATCATTGAAGATAGTCAAACTTTAATTCAAGTATCGGGTGTGAAAGTCAATGAAAATGAAGTGGTATCGTATAATCTAATCAAGATCACCAAGAAATTCCAAGTTTTGAATATACTAATTTATTGAAGGCAAAGTGTCATTGAAAGTTCCTAAGTATTGAATAAACTGAGTGCTGCATTATTTATCAAAGTAATCAAGAACTAATGTCATTGTTTTGAAAGTAACAAGAAGTGATAATTTATACAATAACAGCAAACAATAACCGTCTACCTTTAAAAAAAAAGAATATTAAGAGTAAAATGATAATTAGCACTTACGATTTGTGAAATTCCGAGGCGTGCTGGAACCATGGAATAATAAAGCAACGAACATGACTTTTTTTACACAGAGGTCGGATTTGAAATGGTGCATTTCTATATCCTCAACTGTACAACAATTTTTTATCCAAACCTTTTTTATGTCAGTTTTTCTTACTTTGCATATCATTTACAACAATGATTCTCCGGTTGGAATGTGACCAGAGCTGATCATGTATTCAAGGATTAAGAGTGCTCTTGGTAAGCAAATATCTGAATGGTACTCTGTGTGGCTATGTGAAGGAGAATGCAAATCGATCAATACTTTAATCCATGAACACATGGTCAATTCTGACCACATCCCACCACGAAAATCATATTTTCTCCGTTTGTAGACTATTGGATACTACTCCTCATGCTTCACTAGTCTGACTTACATTCCCCATCTACCCTCTGATATTATTGCTTTAAATTCCTGTTACCCGACACCATTCTTACTCTATTTATTTGTAACTACTTCTAGTGTGTGATTTGTGGATAATGATAGCCTTAGAATTCGGTTCTACACTTCATTAATTAAGGCAAACCAGTTTATATTACTTCTCCAATTTTGGCATTTGATTTTGTTAATCCTGTTGTGCTGATATGATGTAACATTCTGAATCGATGCATATGTGCCAAGTTCTACATTGCTCAGGACTGTAATCCAGCTAAATAGATTGGATCTAATTTTTTATTGGATTATCATTGGCTTTGTATTAGTTATAAAATGAACGTACATTTTGATCCTATGACTAATTAAATTGTTTATATTATCCTTAACCATGTTCCATAATAACATGTAATGATAAATAGGCTGATTTAAGCGGTGGTTTGGGCTTTGATGAATTCAAAAAGCTATGGATGGAACTACGCATTTGGAAGGTACTTTCATCTTATGAATTGTTTTAAAAATTTACCATGCCTCATAGTACTTTTCTAAAAGAAAAGTATAATTTGATATAATATTTTCGCCTGTATCAACTACTCCATTTTAACGTGAATGACGACCACCGTCAAGAATAGTGTTAGTGTTTTAGGAATTTTGAATTGATTCATTCGTGTAATTCTATTCTAACCTAGTTAATTATAGGGAATAATCATATTTTATTCCTATAATAACTGTATGATCTAGAACAAGACGAGTAGAGTGAAGAAATGAGGATTCTCATATTATCCTTGTAATAAATTCATTTTTGGTTTCGTCATTAATACGTATACCCATACAACTGAGCTCCCTTTTCAAATCCAAACACATTCACATAATATCTTTGTTCTTGTATCACAACAAACAACTGTCACTGTGGCTTGATCTTTGCAATGTTCCCATCCTAGGAACAGTATTTGGAAACACACGTACTAAACAGAAGTTAATATCATCTGGATAATTCCAATCATATGTCAATTGTCCATGGTGAGGTTCACCAGTGAAATGAATGACACTTCCAAACACAGTACTACTTTGAACGATTAAAATATTAACGTCCCTGAGTAGATAGACACATCTGGTCCTCTCTACTATTATGCAACACTACTCTCTCAATTACTTCAATAACTGAATTTCCACTGTATAGAGATATCTAGGTAGTATCTACCATTATACTTGCTGAAGTCTTTAATTGTGGTTTGAACGCGAAGACTAAACTAGAATGCATAATATAAAAGATAAACATGTTTATTTTGAATCCGAATAGAGAAAGCCGACTTGGTTTTTAATGATACCAAAGAATCTTGTTTGAATTTTTAATTTGGAAGTAGACTTGTAGTGAATCTCTTTTTCTCAAACCTAATATATTCCTTCCTTAAGATTAGACTTATGCATGAAACTGATAATGTTTCTTAATTTTTATTTGCATTTCTAAACTCAACAATTTATTATTTCAGACTATTTTCAAAAAATTCGATGAAGGTCATACGGGTAGCTTAGAAGCTTTCGAACTAAGAAATGTAATGAGGACCATCGGTGAGTGAAGGAAGTCCTTTTATCTCATTTGCCAGGTACATATTCGTATAATTGACCTCGAATCAGATTAAGTGTGAACCCTCGGTTGCTTAAAGCGAAGTAGATTAAACCGGCTTCGAACCTGGCACTTAATGTTTTAACTGTTAAGCCACTACTTCACATGTGGGGAAATACTATTTGCTACCACGTAAACGAAATTTCTCATATACATAATTCATAATAGAAGAAAGTAATACATGACAAAGATTAAAAGCCTAACATGAACTATGGAGTAATGTAGTCGGATGATATACATTGTTGACTCTGTGAGAAACAAACCCATTCAAATATCCAGTTTCCAACAAGGCGATGTAATTTTAAATCCATTCTTAGAGATGAAAACCTCTAAAAATCAGGATTGGATTCTAAGACGATCTGAAGTGAAGAATTTGAACAATTGGGAACTTCCACTTTATCATGGGGTCGAAAATTCCACCAAAAAACATCAAAGTATGTCAATTTACACTAAAAGTCAAAGATATATAAACCACTCGGGATTTTCAAAGTACAATTAAATCATAACTCCTGACTTAAAGGAATGACATTAATGTGTATGTGTACTTTATTTTCTATGTTTAGTCTCAAACATGTGAGCTGCAAAGTACCAGCCGTAACCATACAATAATCGAGACAAAAAAGCCAACTGTACATAATTATGCAGTGGTAATCGTGGACGGGCGATTTGAAATAGTAATGACGAATAATCACTGGGATTAATCGATCTTTTACCAAGCATTTCTAATCCTTGGTTGCAATATTTATCCAGCTATGTGTTTCGTTCAAATTTTTTTGGAGGAATTGTCTTGATCAATAGTGTACTCTAGATATTCTATACAGATCGTGTGTACAGTACTGTATTTGTATTTTCGACCATTACAATTAGTTAGTTAGTTATTACCTACTTATGTATCAAACTTATAATACAATCACCTCGCCTTTTTATTTCTAACGTGAATGCACCGAACATGATCCTTGTAGTGCCATATAGTCCGGCATCGTATTGTTGCTATTAGACAATAATACATTTCATAATCATTCAGTGAGTGAGTGAGTAATCTTATATACTCTTTGGGCCTAGTAGTAATGCAATTTAATTCCTATTATGCCGTCACACGCGATAGTTATCATCCTGTCTATTAATCTTAATCGCGTGTTCATTCTACTGAAAAAAATTTAACAAGTTTAAAGCATTGTACAGAACCAAAACAGTCCAGGAGTTTGACAAAAATTAATCGGTTAGTTCATGAAAATATGGATTTACAGTATGAAACGTTGACAGTTAATTTAGTTGATACAAGCTATTTCTTCTACTTACCAAGTAATCTTCTAATTCCTATATTTTAAATATCACAAAACTACCAAATTTTTCAGTAATACGGTTATGATCGTATATGAAAATCTTTTCTCCCCATTAGGTTTTCATGTCAGTAATATGATTTTCAAGGCTATTGCTTGTCGATATGCAAATGAAAAAGGTCAAATTTTATTTGATGATTACATTTTGTTATTGATCCGATTATCCACTGTTTTTGAAACATTCAAAGCACAAGAGCGCACTCGAGATGGCCGAGCTGTCTTTGGAGCTGACGATGTAAGTTTGAATTAGATAGTTTGTTCAAAATTTTAAGTTGTTTTATGTTATGTGATTGGGGGTAGTCGGGAGGGAACCATGGATCTGGGTTTCTTACTAGTTGGGACTTATCAGCAAGATATTAACTACATTCTAGAGGGAACTAACGCTTCCCGTGGTATTCTAACCCACACTCCCAGGTTCCAGTCTGTGACATTAACACTGAGATATTTAAAATTGATTAGTCAACTATCTAATATCCCAACATAGCGCATATGTTACCGAGTCACCCAAATCAGTGGCCACATTGCAATTTGGTCAGCACTAAAAAACCAGATTAACGTGATGTCGGTCAGTACATAGTGCACAATCAGTTGTAAGCGATTGCATACTATACTGGTAGTGTACGAAAATTCAGTTTTCGAAAAACGAAGCCATTTGGAATATAATTCAAGCGTACAGCCCAAGTTATACGACCAGTAACAAAAGAATGAAGAAATGTCTCATGTTGAGGATGGTCATCAGCTGTTGCATTGGATACCAGTAGATGTTCAGTATATGGATATACACAAGATGAACTTTGAATGACAGTACCAATGAATCATTGTAAGTTTGAGTTGAGTTAGACAGAAGGCCATAAGTAAAATTCCATACGGATCAAAGGGTGATCACTGTAATACTTGAGATATCCGGCGCTATGCGGATATGATATAAGCAATCATCGCAATAATTGTGATCTTTACGTGCAGAATAAGCATTCAGCTCTACAATGTATCTGCACTAGCTCAACAAACAAGACTGTGGCGACGACTTAAATTTTATATGTCGTTAGTAAGCAGCTTCCAACCTGTATTCCTAATCTTTATTTGTTTCATATGATGTACACTCTGTTACATAAATTTAACATCAAATCCACTTCATAACTGTTTTCGACCCGAATCTCTTACTTATTCGTCCGGCAATATTCTACAGAATTTACCAAGAGAGATTTCGAGTGTGATGCATCAAATCTTTTTTTAATATATAGACTCAGTAGATCAATGCTTAGCACAATTCATCGGACTACATACCAAACGGACTATTAATACAGTTAGAAATTATCTTTGTATAAGATCGATGATTTTCACTAGGACCTGGTTTGTTATTTACTATGGACTATCCGTTGCGAAAAAGAGCCGTCTCAGTAATAGAATGTGCTGCTAGCGTCTTCAAATGGTGTTGGCAACTTATCGCTTCACATTACTATCCATTTCTTATTTTGGTAATGTATGAATTGTAGGTTTCCGATTTGCTCATTTTTATTTTAAACTACTGCTAAGTATATTATACATGCATTCTACATTCGTTTTGTTTTTTCCAGTTTATTCGCTCAGTTATATATATTTAGAGGCCCAAATTAAACCGCCATCATAATAATATTTGTGAATACAGGCATGTATGATACATATACACACAACAGAAGAAACCGGCTACTTATATGTGTATACAACTCTTACAGAGATGGCCGATCGTGATAATTTTATTATTTTACTATTTGCTTTTTTTGTTTTGATTTTGCATGCTCAAAAGAAAACTTACAATATATTTATTATCTTACAAGATGTCATTTATATCTTTTGGCATAGAAAACGCACTGGTTTACTTTTATTTACTTGATTATCATTAACTATGCTATTAAAGAGTTCCTATTGAAATTGTCATAGAAGGTTGAATCAAGTGAGCCAGTATAGTACTGTAACAGATTTTAATTATGTTTTGTTCTCTGAGCTCGATAGTTTAGTCGTGGAGCTTTCATCGTCCTTCTAAACGACATCACAAAGACCAATGGTTGATTTTACAAATTCACCAACATACAATCTAGCGAAATACTTAACTAGGATACTTAAACCATATGGCAAATTGATTAATCATGGAATTAAAAATATCTATTGAATTCAATAATAATATCGATAACACCTATATAGAATATGATCAATTAATTAGGTAAACTGAACATTGAAGATGTAATATATCCATAGATTGTTTTTTTTCCATTCACTGATTCTACTAGTATCCTACAACAATCCACTGTCATTTTAGAGCATTTTGATCAATAATTACTCAACACTGTACTTTACATATATTATCAAACCTTATTAAGGTTAAGCAATATTACAGGGTATTTTAAATCGGCTGGAAATTGACAGATAAGTTTCCTCGGAGAGATACATCAGGGAAAATTTACCTAAAATCACTATCTTATCTTCATAAAAAAGTACAGATATTTCTTTGAAGCGGATCGTAATCAGTTAATGGAGTACTTATTAAAAATAACTAGGCTGATAAGTATTTTTGGTATTGTATTGTATATTAAGCTAAACATTTGCAAAAAAAGAACTCAGTTCAGGTCCACTCACTCACGCGCTGACGAAATAAACATCCGTCCAAAAAGCTAGACTGGTCGCTTCGTTTAAAAAACTTAACCTGTCTAATTGCGCTATTATACATACTGGGTTTGCTGCGAGGAGAGACGCTTAGTTTCTTTCGCGTTAATCGTTTCTCGACTGTATACAACAGTTTTTCAGTATGCGTTGTGGAGGCAAGGCGCTGTGCAACACATTACGAATAAGATTAGTAGTAAATTATCCCAATTTTAGAACAAGGAGATTGAAAGACGGACGTTTACTGATTCGGTCCATTATATATTACAATTCCTGTTTTTCATTACAACTTGTTAAATGATACAATATCTACAGATTGAACATGTTTCGAAAATTCCTTTATAGATTCTTCAAGGAAGTCAGTTCCAACCTGAAAGCAAACAGAAGTAAGAATTTATTACACAGATATTAGATCTGGTTAGCTTTACCACCTAATGTTATTTGACTTTGTGACCAAACTGGGCTTAGATGTCAAATCGACAAGTAGTGAAAACGCTTACTTGTAAAAAGAATTGTAATTTTAGTGTTGGACAAAATAGTAATGCAAAAGATTACCTACACATAATAGTCTCAGTGATTCGTAGTATAAACTAACCTTGTCATCTTCAACGACACAACAGATTTGGAGCTTCTTTATGCCAAAAGCGATGGGCACCAATTTGGAAGCACCCCATAAAAGGCCATCTACTTTAATACCTTTCACCAAAGAGGTAAGTTCTTCCATATCTACTTCATCATCCCATGGTTTCACATCGAGGGTGATACTTGACTTTGCTGCCACAACAGGCTCTAAATAAATTAAGTTGATGTATATACAAACACTTAATAAATAATAATTAACAAACTCCATGCAAGTGAAGAAAAATATAAATAAATACAAGTTGATTAATGATTGATATGTCATTTTACAGGTCTCGGAAAGTTTCTTTACTATCAGTTCATATTAGTAGCAGTGTAATTACACGTAATCAATTGAATTCAGTCACAATTTCACACAATCTTACTTAACGAGAGGAAAATTAAACTTACAATTTTCTCTACTCTGATGAGTAAATGCACAACGAACACTGGTGCAAACATGAATTAGTAACAAATACAATAAACCATACAAGTGTTGTAGATCCAATACTATTACGTTGGTATTATGCCATCATGGAATATATGTAAATTCTGAGTCTTATCACGAAAGTTTAATAGCTATCATGTAAAAAATTTGGGTTGGAATTGAGTAATCTACAATTCGCAGATAATTGCTTTGCGATGTTTTTAAGCTTTACACATATTATGGAACAAGCTTTGTTATAATCAACTAGGAAGTGCCACTCAAACAGCTTACACTATTTAGTGAAACGTAAAGTTTACCGGGGTGACTAGACCACGTCTTGAGAACGTTTTTACCTACCTAAATGAAGTTGTACCAGCTTTATTAGACCCATAGTTATTTGATTAAACAATAGCGTTAACTCATCTAATCGATATTAATGTGAATAGCTTAGGGTCTTTTGAAATGCAATCATAAAATGTAATCAGTGAATAAAATGGAAAACGCGCGAACTATCGCCAATTCTCTGTCGAGATTAGTAGGGATAAGCCAGTGTAAGACTTCATACAAATACAGATCACTTTACGTAAATACATCGGCATAATATGAAGGAGCTTAAAATAACGAACGACTACTTTGGGACCACACCGGAATCGGTCTTTAAAATAGTTTAAATACGGAACATAAACCATATTATTTTGCATTACTGCTATAGTATCTATTGATCAAAGAAGCATAAATACCCTCATTTTATCTTAATTGTGTTAAAACAACACTACAATTGCCTATTGTATAAACCGACATAACTTAATGAATTTGTACAGCTAATAAGGTAAGCGTATGAATGGTCGCATGAATAATCATAAGTAATGTGTCAATATTTTTTAACTTTCAACTGACTTACATACCAAATACGTTTCGTATACCTAACTTCAAGTCACATTCAAAGTAAAGTAGGAGCTAAGTACAGACTAAATGGCAGTAAGTTTAACACCTTAACTACTGAAGCAGTGTGAATGAAAAAAACTTAGCCAGCTTTATGTGTCTAAATGGGCGGATTTTAAAATCAAAACTTACTTAGAGCTTTTTTTGCAAGGTATTCGGCTTCTCTCTCACTCCTGATACGCTCAGCTTCTTTATCCTCCTGAAGGAGTTTGGAAAACTTTAGTTACATACCTCGCTGTCTGAACCAAAAAGATCAGGCTCTGAATCTGATTTTTCTCCAACTACATCATGAGGATCGTTACTCAACTTCATAGTGCTTATGCGTGATTCCAGATCTGATATGCGACTAACAAGACTCGTAACAACTATATGAAAAGTGTGATTGTTATTATCATTAAAATTAAACACAATATTTTAAAAATGAAACAGGAAAACCTCGACGGTTGTGATAACGAGAAACGAAATAATGACGAATAGGTTAACAAGTGACACCACTAATTCTTTAGAAATGAAGAGTGCGCTAACCCTCTGTGCTAATATCATTGCGTCCAAGGAGGACGCGGATTCATTTGTATCCACCAATGCATATCGAAGCCTGAACGTGGGCTTCAAAAGAAACAGGCATTTTTAAAACCATATTTCTACATGCAGGTGATGGTGATTTTTTGTCTAATATTGATATTTCATTATGGGATCCAAAGTTCGTGTATCAATGTTCAAAGTTGTTACTTGTTAAATTTAACCGATTTCATATTTTAATTTCTTAAAATGATCGTCACTATGTTCCCAGAAGTAAAATTTCAGAAATCTATTGTTTTTTCACTTAATTAAGATCCTATCACTAGCTTCCAGCCATTCATTGGAGTCTTAGGATGTTCGGAAATAGAATAGCTTATAATGGAACAGTCATTTCCTCTGAACTGAGGTTATTATGAGTGATTTAGTTATGTGCTAAACACTACAAGGCACTGTTTACTAGGCGCATAACAATGCCTAGCTCTAGCGTAAATTAAGAAAAACAGACTGATCAAAGAATTAGGTCAAATGAATATACCAAGTCACTGGAATTCTTAAAGCCGCAGAAGTATAATTGGGGTTTTTGGTTGAAGTAAACAAAGATTAAATCAGTAGTACCTGAGAATTTATAATATGAAAGGAAACATCAGTATACAAGGACGCCACCTAGCGAGAAGTGATGACAAAATGATAAGCCTGTATGAAAGCTTATCCAAATAGTCAGAGTTCGTAAGTAGGGATGAATATTAGTAGGACAAAAGCGATTTATGTAGAACAAGACGAGATAGACTAAATTCAAAAGGACAAAGTGTAAGTTAATGAACAAATAAGTCACAAAAAAACCTATTCTACCAATTACCACCGAGTAATAGAGAATTTAACAAAATCAATAGTGTGGATTTTATTTACTATACAACTTATTATCATACTAAAAACACAATTCTGAAATACGCATTTTTCAAGTCGCCATACAGCTGAACATTCAAATAAATTAAAGCAGTCACCTATTTAACATAAAGTCTTTGTTCATTAAAGTCAGTATAAAAATATTATTACTGGAGAGAACGACTTACGTTTTTCAAGTTCATCAAGACGTCCAACGTCGAAAGGTCGGGATACAGCAACCTAAGGAAGTTGAAGACAAAAACAGAATCTCGATTTAAAAAGCGCTTCTTGAAATGACAAAATAATATCACGAAACATCCTTGACTCACGTGCAATACAGAAAACACGGGTCTCGACTACGGCAATAAATGGCAGTGCGTCTGGAAATGAATATGTCTTGGAACAATTGAATGCAATATTGTGGACCAACAGACTTTATTAAACTACGATGGTCACAATGTCAATACGCTTCAAAAAAGCTGTAAACCTTTGAACCAACACATATGTGAGTAGTGTGATAAAACTTCTTTCGTAAGTTTGTTAACCTTTGATTACCTTAATTTGAACTAGAATTGATATCATTAACCCCAATAGTTTTTCTGTCTAACATATTTTAATGTGATATCGAAAAGCTACTCCACAGGGACCTATGGGTATTTACAAAAAACTTTATCAACAACGAACACAAATGATTTATTAGTGATTTATGAGTATTAGTCGGTTAAATGAACCGAGTCAATTACAACACATCATTTTGAAATATTGGAGACTAATTTTTGGACAAACCAACGAAACTGCATGTAGCACGTCGGACTACGACGCGAAATTCACAAATTCGTACGATTAAATGACGTTTTAGTATCATAGTTGGTGCCAGTTTGTAATGAAAATCCTAACCCTAATTCTTTGCACTAATTTATGATCCTCTTTGACTCTCAGCAAGCGAATATCCTTGTTTTTCTTGTTAAAATGACCAATTAATCATATAAGATATAAATACCCTTAATGATATGAGATGAAATACTTCAACAGGAATTTCTTCTGCTACGCAATCTGTTTCTTCTAATAAAGACTGTACCACATACAGAATCAAGTCAACCCTGGTCTGTTCAAGATACCAAAAAAAATGGGGGAAAATCTTCTAGAAAGCCAGATTATTTATTTAAAGCAATGTATCCAGGTGCTTGAAGGAATTTTGGGATGAAATAAACGTTCATTTTAGAATAAGTGATAATTATGTTGGGAAACCAGCGACAGTATATTTTATGTGCAAAGCAAACAGGTATTAAAGAACAAATTTTGGATTTTGACGCGAAATTCATCCATCCATTTGGTTAAATAGTTTCAGCATCTTGGCTGTCAGTTCGTGATGGAAACCATAAATCTAGATTATAACCCTGACCAACCTTAAGTCATAACTCTAATTCCTGACACTCCCTTATAACCCTCATTTAGTCTTAGTTGGGGTAGACATTCTCGAGGTCAATTTAGCAAAACCCAAAGGTCGCCCGTAAATTAAAGTCTCCTAGAAAAACCCTACTCGGTCATCACTATGGTCGCTGTGGATACATGTAGCAAAAAACGATGATTTAGAAACCAGTCATGCCATGCAAAAGATATATATTGTTTATAATTTCATTATGTGAATAATAGTATGGTAAGTAAATATTGCGTTACAATGGCCCAATTTCCATTTCACGGACTAAACTTTTATACTTAGGAATGACTGATAAGCTAAACCTGTAAATGGCTCGAAAGTAGTAAATGGTTCAAAATAATTAGTTTTTAAGTTCCGAAAAATTCTCATCTGTAAAACGACTAATACAAGCATAAACCCGGATGAATTGGTTAATTGAATCCTCATATCGATGTTTTGGCTCGCAATCCACCATCCCCTTTATGTACGTGTGCGTCACAAATAGAACGAAACGCTCGGGCTGAGTATCACTGCTAGCCAAACACCAACCTCTGGTAATCGATCCGGATGTTTATACACAATACAAAGTAGTTCAGAGATGTAAGCAGACTGTCCCAGTTTTTTATAAATACGTTAATAGCCTATAGATCACCAAACCGAGTGCACAAAATATACCTTAGATTCTGAAATCAATAATCGTGACTACTTTCATACCATACATCACATCTTGATCGGTTTATTCACATTAAGAAACTGTCTGATAACGTAACAAACCCATTCTCCTTGTTTTGAGGGAACATTAGTGAAATTTTGTAAAAACTGGAATAGAAAGCATTCGTGAAATGGCACAAAAATATCAAATTTTCCACAGGTCTGGGGAAAAATACCCAACGTTTTGAAGAAATTTAGGGTTTTTCCGAACATTTCTACAGAATCTTATAACAATTCGGAGTTTCCACAAATGTCTCCCCAAAATTTGAAGAAAACTACCATTTTTCTTTCAACTTTGTGGAAAATCCCAAAATACGGAGATTAGGTAACCAGACAGAAATTTTCAAGACTTTTAATCTGGCAGTTTGGTTGAAACACTTACGCGATCCAAGGATGTTTTGATATGCTCTCTAGCTTTCTGGATTTCTTGTGCCAAAGACCCCGTTTTCTTGAAAAGTTAGCGAAAAAATTACAGAATACCAGTGTTTCCGGAGCTTTCGACTGAGTAGATGACGACAGATGAGATACATAAGCCTTCTCAATATCCGGATAGTCAGGAAATGTAAGTGTCTGTGCGCTCATAAGTAAACCTGCTTCCATTTCGACCACGCCACTAACAAACTGAATAACCCTCAGTTACTCAATATTCAAAATTCACCTGAGAAAAATTTGAGGCCAATTTCTATTGATCATAATTATGTGTTAAAAGTCATTCCGGCAGCTAGAATGTGGATAACTTGTATACATAATAAACGTCATGAGAGCTACAATATACATATTACATTATACATTCATGTGAGACTATAATTTATAAAACAATCAATCAGATTTAGGGTAACAGATCTTAAATCTAGGTGCAATTCAAACACGCATTTGTTCGAATAGCGTTTAGGCTCAATAGCTGATGTCAGTTCGTGATGAAAACCATAAATCTGATTCCGATACTCAACCATCAATTGTAAATCACAATCCTTATTTTTCGAAATGCTTTATAACACTCCTAGTAAGTAGGTGGATATTCCAAAGATGATCAAGTTGCCGCTCAAAAGCCATCCATAAATTTTAGTATCACCTACACTCAACATTTTATGACAAGTAGGCATACGAACCCATTTCTTTGGAGTTGCAGCTTGGTCCGAACAAACAGTTTCAGAAATTTAACTAAAAGTTATATATATATATATGTGTTTTCAGTCAAAGAAAAGCCTCAAACGAATCAGAGTTATGTCATACACTTACGCGTTATCTTAATTTTCGTAACGACCGTAAGCGATGGCACACCCCACGTAGAAGCACTTCACATAAGCTATCTGTCTCTAGACCACGATAGATAGATAACCCCGACTGATGATGGTATCATAACTAGTATGGAAAGTCTCCCAGAAATCGCAGAAAATCCTGAAATATTCCCAACTCAAAACCCACCGACACAAAAAACAACTCGGATAAACTTCAAAGCCGGTATGCGTTAACGGCAAACGTAGCCGACGAAAACAGCCGTCTATTATACGTCACAGATGTAATAACGAAAGTTCGCTACCTCGTCGACACTAGCGCAGAAGTTGGCATTCTTCCAGCAAATTCTCACGATCATCTTCACGAATCGGTTCTAGACGTACAAGCGGCAAACGGAAAGCCAATCACAACATGTGGTAAAAGGTGCGTTTACATTAACGTGGGTTTACGCAAACCGATACACTGGATTTTCGTTGTTGCAGATGTTTCTATGCCAATCATTGGTATAGACCTGCTACAACACTGAAATCTACTCATCGATACGCTCAAACGGAAGCTAATGACGAAAGCACTAATTTATCTGTTTGCTTAACTCCTTTTTCTGATTGCAGGTTATCTCCAGTCACAATTAAGCACACGACAGACCCACTTTATGAACCACTACTCGATAAGTATTCTGGGATTCAACAAACACGACCGAAATTGTCGTGTGTAACCAACAATGTTACACATCACATCACGACTACAGGACCACCTGTATTCTCGAAAGCACCCCGACAGGCTTCCGAAAAGCTAAGGCTGGCGAAAAACGAATTCGACCACATGATAGACTTATCAATCATACGACCGTCAAATAGCTCATATGCATCTCCGTTGCACGTAGTCCGTAAAAAGGAGAGCAACGATTGACGTCCAACTGGTGACTACCAGCGAGTGAATGTGAAAGCCATTCCCGATCGTTACCCGTTGCCCACATTCACCATTTGACAGCTACCTTGAAAGGTACAACTGTCTTTTCGACAATCGACTTGGTTATAGCCTATAACTAAATTCCCATGGCCACTGACAACATTCCAAAACCATTATCATTGCTCCTTCCGGTCCTTAAGAATTTTTGCTCACGTTCTTCGGCCTAAGAAAAGCTGCCCAAACTTTCCAAAGATTCATAGATGATGATGGAGGATCTCATCTCCAGCATCTGGATCTTGTTTTCGAACGACCACAAAAGCATGGCATTTCTGTTAACGTTGAGAAATATCAAATCGGGACTGACTCCCTATATTTATTCGGACACACTGTTGATGCACAAGGCATCCGACCCCTTAGAACCAAAGTGGAGGCCATTCTAGATTATCCAGAACCGACCACTATTAAGCAATTACACACGTTTAACGGCATAGTAAGTTTCAATAGACGATTCATACCGAAATGAGCATTACTTATGAAACCTCTAACCGACTAACTTCGTAGAAATGCGAAATCTATCAATTTAGACGAAACCGCGCTAAAAGCATTCTCCACAGTTAAGGAACTTACTGCTAAAGCAACAGTGCTTGCTCATCAGGACACCGAAGCACCCATTAGTATCGCAGTAGACGCATCCGACTCAGCGATCGGAGAAATCTTACAACAATGAGTTAACAACTCCTGGCAACCCTTGGCATTTTCCTCTAGACGGTTGCTAGACATCGGATCAAGGTACAGCACATTCGGTAGGGAACTCCTAGCTATGTACTGGGCTGTACGGCATTTTCAACACTATATCGAAAGCCATGAATTCACCCTTTTCACTGACCATAACCCGCTTACCTTTTCCTGAAGCTCGTCCTCTGACAAGTACTCACCTCATGAGTCTCGACAACTAGACTACATTTTGAAGTTTACTTCAGACATCCAACACATTTCTGGAGCAAACAATGTAGTCACAGACGACTTGTCTCGCATAACTTCCTTGAACAGTTTCCAAGGAATCAACCTTCTTAAACTCGCCCAGCTTCAGAAAGAAGACACTAATCTTCAGCACGAGTTATCGTCTACAATCCTCAAGCTACGCATCAAACAAATTGGAACAGATAAGTAAACCTTACTGTGTGACACATCTACAGGTAGGGCTAGATCAATCATGCTGAAACATTATCGACCCAACGTCTTCAATACGTTGCACAAACTTTCGCATCCAGGTGTTCGTGCAACCATCAAGCTTTTAGCAGATCGGTTCAGCTGGCCTGGCATTAATAGAGACGTGAGGAAGTGGGCACGCTATTGTGTGAGCTGCCAAAAATCTAGGGTTATCAGACACAATAAATGTCCCTTAGGCTCGTTTAAAACTCACAATGCTCGTTTCGACCATTTTCATCTGGATTTGGTAGGACCTTTATCAGATTCAAATGGATACTCTTATCTCTTATCCTTCGTAGGCCGTTTCACTCGATGGCCAGAAGCAGTACCTATCACGGGGATCGCTGCTAAGACAGTGACCCGCGCCTTCGCCAAACGATGGGTAGCAAACTTCGGCTGCCCTTCAACTATCACTACAGACCGCGGACGTCGGTTCGAATCTGAACTATTCCGTCGTCTGACCACACTTTTAGGAATCACTCGCTTCTGAACGACCGCCTACCACCTACAAGCAAACGGCTTGATAGAACGTTTTTACCAACAACTAAAAGCTTCGCCATCAGCTGCAAACGTTTCACAGTGGATTGGCGCTCTTCCACTCGTCTTACTAGGTATTCACAGTGCAGCGAAAGCTGACATTGGATACTCTGCAGCTCAGCTCGTTTATGGAACGACACTTGAACTTCCAGGAGAATTCGTGGATCCTTCACCTTCAATGAAAACGGATCTCTCCTACACGAGCAGGCTTAAAAACGCAATGCGTTTAACTCGATATAGTACACATGTTTTCGTTCGTCGAGACTCGCATCGACAACCATTCGAATCAGCATACGAAGGACCTTTCAAAGTTCTTCAACATGAATCTAAGTACTATATAGTCAATAAGAACGGAACAATCGATAGCATCAGCATCGATCGATTAAAAGCAACGTATTTAGAAGGAAATCCTATTCAAATCGATTTCCCTTCGGTACGATTACACAACATGACTCCTACACTCATAATTCTTCAACCAACAACCAACACTAGCGATGATACTCCGAATGTGTCTGAAAATAAACTTAAAACGACACGTTCTGGAAGAAGAGTAAGATTTCCAGAACATTTAAACGACTACTACACGTAAGGCACCACTTTACATTTTATATTATCTCGATTTTTCTTTTTACCATATGTAATATTTTTTTGAAAAAAATTATAATGTGCCTATATATTTCTATTTCCATTTCAAAAAAAAACATAAAAATCCTTTTTTAACGATATTACGTGTATATGAGTTTATTATCCACTTTTATCGCCATCTTTGTATTTTTACACGCGTACGAGGATATTTCGACATGCACTTACATTTTCTTCTTTCTTTTAAAGGATGGCTGAAAAAGAACGATGAAGTTTACGAGGAGCCGAAATTTTCATTGTACTTCTTTTTTTTAATATGCTGTACTTCATAGTCCCATATAGTAAGGAAAGACGGCCAGACGCTGCTAAACCTAGCAAGCTATCAGAAGAGTGTTTACCAACGACGAATCTCGTTGGGTTTAAACTTCTGGCTAACCACGACTTAGGGTCATCAATACCCCACTACGGGGGGAGTGATCAGTGGCTGTAAATAAATCCACAAAATAAATAGCTCTGTGAATTTTCGACATTGGATGCTGACAAGATTTGTTTTAATGGACTCACCTAGCTGAAGGTGCTCGGTCATGCATCCGCACCAGATCACGTGTGGGAACGCCATGCTCAACATCTGCTGCAATCGCTAGCCAGACTAGTTCAGAAAATTTCGATATATTGGCAATCGTCAAATACAACTTCTGATCTACTTGATTCTGTCTTTTGATTTCTCTTGGTGGGTACGAGTTATACTAGAAGGTGTTACCAGTAAAAGCGTTGTCAAAAACTGAATACGTGTGACAACTTCAGGATATATACTGACTAATCTTCGTAGAGGAGGCCAAGGTTGATGTTTTTAAACGCTATTTGAGACATATCGTTGAAGAAACACGTTTGTCCAACAAAACCAAGAAGGCAAGAGTCAATATAGAGGATTCGATTAATTCAATGTGTATGACAGATGTTGACGAAGCTGCGGAACTTAGTGAATGCCAGACCTGATAATCCTGATGGGACACCTGAATAACCAAGTCGGAATAGACAACACCGAAAATGAAGATATCATGGGACTATATGCACCAACTGAAAGAAAACAGCGAGGATGACGAGAGGTTCGCAAACTTACGTGCATTCAACAAAATAGTTATAGGTGACCCTGTATTTCTCCACAAACGCATACATATAGCTAC